GGATCGCCGAGTACCAACGCTTGACGTCAGTCCCAGACATCCAGATGGGCTTCAAGGCCATCCGCCATTACTTCATCTCAAGGTCATGTCCGGCATTGAGCAATGCCCTGACGCATGTCGAAGACACCTTGACGACGACGGCGGAGTTGTTCGACAAGGCTGCRCAGATCATTATCACAAACAAGGAGGCCAAGAACCTTCGTTCATCTGCGTCAGGCCCGAGCAGGGACCAGCATCGGCCAAGAGTGGCCGTGGTCGCAGCGGCAACGTCGTTAGACCAAACCAGCGAGGCTGTGTCTGCCAGTGAAGGAGTCAGACTCGCAGCCGCCCGGGAAGGTGGCCGCCCCGGCAAAGGCCGAGGACGCGGCAGGACGAAGACACACACCGCATCTAGCCCCGGGCTCGGTGCAGCAGCTCAGACAGGCCCATGGACCCAGTATGGCATCTCCGAGTCCGCATTCAAGGCGCGCGAGAGATTCCATTATTGCCTTTGGTGCAACAACGATCTTCACCAGACGCAGGCTTGCCCATTGAAAGGCAAGGGCAGACAGGGAAACTGAGCACCGCCGAGAGTGACTCGACGACACTCTCAACGCCTTTGGAACCGGTTTCTTCGCGAGTAGCCGACCTTCATTCCGAGGCGCATGTGGAAGTCGATAGTCCTCCTCTTCTACTTTCTTTTGAGGACTATGTTGCCCGGCTCGTTCCAACGTTGGGTACTCAAGCTCAAGGACAAGGAGTGTGTGCGGTTTCTTCTCCGTCTGACAACGGCGACAATTCGTCTTCAAGTAGTTCTTCACGGGATTCGGCGCGCGAGTTCAACATAGAGGCATTGGACCCGCTCACGTCTGAGGACTTTGCATGGCTTCCTCTCCCGACCACCGGCCGATTGTCGGGACCGCAATGCGCAGCACTTAGCGCTAATCTTCACACTTACCTATCCTTCTATGCACCACCAACTTCGCCGACGGATGACGAAGTCGCGGTGGGGGACATCTTGGCGTATACTACCAAGGTGGCCCGTGAGTTTCGCACGCAGCGGTACGATGACAACAACGCACCGCTGATGTATGTTCGCATTCAGGTTGGGCAAGCGTCCTGCAGCGCTTTGCTGGATAGCGGCGCGACTCGCAACTTCATGAGCCAATCCTTTATGCAAAGGGCTGGCCTTGGCGCACAGGTTCGGAGGAAGGCAAACCCGACGGCGATCAAGTTGACGGACGGTAAGACGCAGCAACTTCTCGACCGTTACATCGAGGCCGTATCGGTCTACTTCGCACCTCATGCATGCGAACCGGTCACGTTCGATATTCTCGACACGGACTTCGATATCATTCTGGGAATGCCTTGGCTTCCAAGTGCGGATCACACGGTCAACTTCCATCGGCGGACTCTTAGCGTTCGCGACGCCTTCGGCGCGGAAGTGACGTGCACTGTTCCTCTACCGCACTCTTCGATCCGGTGCCAAGTGGTAACGGCCAAATCATTCCGGGCGACTTGTGTCTACGAGCAGCCCGATGAGATCGGCCTATGTTTCCTACAGACCGTCGCGGTAGCCGACTCTTCCCCCACGGACTTGTCTTCGGACCCCC